AAGAAAATCTAAAAACTAATGACATCTGACATCGTGTCTCGAGTGTCACGTCACTGATGATCAGTATGATCACTTATGAAAACGCTATTGAAATTGAAAGTCGCTACAAATAATAGGCAATTTTTCGCGAGGATACCAAACTCGATTATGCTCAGATGTTACCTATGTGTCATACTCCCCCATTGCTGCCCTAACTCTCCCACTATCAAATTCTGGGATAATTGAGGATCAAAAAAACTTGAAACTTCTTCTGTGAGAATAAACCGAAAATCACCTTTTCTACATTTAAAATCGACGAAAAAATGAACTCACTAACTAGCACAGCCTGAATCTGCATTCCATCGCGGTCTGCAGGTGACGTCATCACTATAAGCTGCTGGTAGTGACGTCCCTCGCAGGCCAGGAATTGGATGGTGAGGGAGTTAGGAGAGGATGACACACCCAGTGTGAGCGTGACACCGGTGCGACACCCTAGCTGTTCAAAAATGCTAGACGGTGCTATGGGCCCAATGACCAATTATTGTCAATTCAGGTACCTACACCCATAGAATCGCACTCGCACCCTGTGCGTTATTTCTGAACTCGGCCCTGAGGATAATCAGTGTTTGATTAGGCTCGCGAAAAATTGTGATAGGAATCACATTGCACAATAAAATTATGACTCAAATTTATTGACTGGTTTTATATACCTGAGCAAATTGTGGCGGAATGACGTCATATGACGCAACCTTCTAGCTATCGATTTTTAAACGAAAACTACGGATTATTTCTCCAAGAATCTACCCACTTCACTTCATTCCGTCAGAAGTGGCAGCACTGCACCAGTGTACCATTTCGAGAACTGATAGGGTCATTATTATATATGTGGCAACATTTAGTAGACCTGATATAACAATCCTGATATATCATTCTCTGTAATATATCTTCGTAGATACAACACAACTATGGACAGCAGCAAAGAGAATACTGAAATATCTCAAACAAACAATTAACATGGCTCTGATTTATGAATCAAATACTACAGAGAGACCAGAAATTTTAGCATACAGTGCCGCAGATTGAGGAGGAGATCAAACTGATAGAAAGAGTATACCTAAGTGGATGTGTAGTATTTTATAACACAAATTTGATTTTTTGGATATCAGAGAAGCAAAATGTTGTGATACTATTGACTACAGAGTGATAGTAATACACGTAGGTTCAAATAATTGGTTTTATTAAGAAAACGATTTCACACCATTGAAAATAAAAAGCATGTTTTTGTGTTGGAAACAAAACAACTCTCCACCAAACCAAACATATCCTCTAAGAAACATCTACCCTAAAAACTAAAGCTGATCATGCCATATTGCCAAGTTTAGCAATTTACATAGCTTGATCTAAATATCATCACATCACCCCCTTCAGTTTAGGAAATCATATTATTTATATTTTAAACTTTTACTCAATGTACAAAACTTCTAACTCATAATATAATCATTAAATTTGGATGGCAACTTTCTCTTTTTCCAGCATCAGGTCCAATGTCAGAGTCAGGATGCGTATCTGTTGAGCTCTCAATGAAACTTCTCTGAGCCTGAGATACTTGAGAGTTATTATCATCATTGAGCTCATCAGATGTGCGATTATTCCTCAAATGAAAACTATTTCTACGGACTTCCTGACTATTATGCTTCTGAACTGTGTAGGACCTGGGAACAGACAATCTTTTAGAAACTGTGCCTGGTTGCCAAGTCCTTTCACATTCACCCTTATCACCAACTCCAAAAGGATTCCTAACTATAGTTTGCCTATCATAGTAGTATTTATATAGTTTTCTTCTATTTCCAATTTTTTCTTTCCCCCTTTCATAGTCAATGGATTGAGGTTGTAATAGGTTTTTGCCTCTATAACAGAGCTTGATATTTTAGATGCCAATTTAACAACCTCCAACCATCTACTCAAATAATCAATTACTACCAAATATGACTTTCCTTCATACTCCATAATATCACTGCCAACAATTTCAAAGGAAAACTCTGGTAATTTTCGTAAAATAAGAGGTTCCTTTCGATTGCTATTTTTGTACTTTGCACATCTAGCACAACTTGTAACTAGCTCCTCTATGTCAGAATTAATTTGAGGCCAATATAAAATTTGCCTAGCTCTTTATTGAGTAACACCATAGTGATTTTGGTGAAGCTGTTCTAGCATTTTATTTCTAAGTGATTTTGGAGCAATTACTATTCCATCTTAGAATATCAAATCGTTCAATATATAAATATCATTTCTTTTTGCAAAATACTTTCTAATAAGATCAGGAACTTGTGTTATGCTAGATGGCCAACCCCTATTATAAATATCCATTGAAAGTTTAAGCTCATCGTCTTTAGATGTTTCTACCTTAAACTCTTGACTAAATTTATTGAATGAACAATATCAGTTAAAAAATTCTGATCAGAACCAGACTCCCTAATATAGTTACGTGAAAGCAAGTCAGCTATCAGCATCTCCTTACCAGGCTTGTAATGAAAAATTACATCATATTTTAAAAGTTTCACCTTTATTCTTTGAAGTCTTGGAGATTGCACTTCAGGAACACCCTTTTTCAGTATTGCCTCAATAGGCAATATGATCTGTATGAATGAAAACATGATCCCCATAAATATAGTTATGGAATTTTTGGCAAGCATAGACCACTGCTAGAAATTCTTTTTCAATTTGACTGAAACGCGTTTCAGCTGCTGTTAATGATCGCGATGCGAAAGCCACTGGTTTATTGTTCTGCAGGAGCACACAGCCCAAACCTGACTTACTTGCATCTGTTTGAATAATTGAGGGTAAAGATTCATCAAAATTAGTTAATACAGGTGGCGAACTTATCAATTTGTTGATATTATTTAGAGATTCCGTATGTTTGGCAGTCCACAACCATACCACATCTTTCTTAAGTAACTCTCTCAATGGTGTTGATATCTCTGATAAATTGGGTATGTAGTATCCTAAATAATTAATCATTCCTAGAATTCTTTGAAGTTCTTTTGGCGTTTTTGGCTCCTCAAGGCTCATTATCGCCAGAATTTTATCATTATCCGGTGTCATACCTGATTTATCAGAAATGTTTCCCAAATAATTTACTTCCTTTACTCGATATTGCAATTTGCTACTATTAAACTTGACATCTAAAGAGGGAGCTCTCTCAACAACCATAGCCAAAATTCGATCATGCTCCTTCAATGTTTTTGCGGCAATCAACAGGTCATCAAGTATACAATTACCCCTTCTATATCACCAAATTTTTCAGTATTAATCTTTTGAAAAAACTCAGGTGCAACATTGAGACCAAAAGGAAGTCTCAAGAACCTGTAGACACCGAAAGGACAACCAAATGCGCAGAGCCTGCTCGAATCCTCATCCAAAGTTACATGATAAAACCCACCCTTGAAATCGAGCACAGAAAAGTATTTTTTATTATTTAATTTTGCTCTTATTTCATCTAGACTGGAACCATCATTTTTTTTCTATGATAGCAATTACTTCTTCATTAATCAATCATCTTCACTAGAATTCAGTTCATGCCTGCTGCCTACTTGTAACTCCCGAACATAAGACTTTCTACACATTTTTCGAAAATGTCCATGAAGCTTACATTTATTGCATCTTCGACCAAATGCTGGACATTTTCTTCTACCACATCTTTGACAATCAAATTGATCTGTTTCCTCATTTTTTGGGTCTCTGTTTCTTTTAAAATAGCCTGATGTTGATGCCTCATTTCCTCTATTTTGGAGTCTACTATGTTGTACTTTTTTCTGAACTGCATCAGTTTTTACTTCACGACCATCTAGAACTGGTTTCGACTGAGCTTTTGCAATTTCATTTGCTTTGCAAATTTGGGATGCCTTTTTCAAGTCCACATCATCAAGATGCAAAAGCTTTTCTTGAAGTTCTTTACTTCGAATGCCAAGGGCAATGCGATCTCTAATCATAGAGTCCATCAAGTTTCCATAATCACAAGTTTGTGCCAACTTCTTTAAATCAGTTATAAATGATCAAATGTCTCACCCTCCTCTTGTTTTTTATTATAAAATAAAAAAAAATTCATACGCCACATTAGCTTTAGGAGTTATGAACCTTTCTATTGCAAGCAACACTGTGCTATTTGATTTCTTTTGGTCTTCATCGAGACCTAGAATATTAAACGCCTCCAAGGCCTCCTCACCCATGATGTTTAACAAGAGGGCCACCTTTAGTTCATCATGCTTTTTGTCTTTTCCACAGGCAGCCAGGTAAATTTCAAAACTTTGTTTAAATTTTGTAAAGTTTTCTGCAACATTACCTTCAAATGAGAGAGGTAGTTAGAGATGTAATTTTAGCTGTTCCATTTTAAAAGCCTTCACTTTTCTACAAGATTATGATGAAGAATCCAGATTCCACACTAGGATATTCCAACAAAACTGTTTTTCCACAACAGGAATTGATTAAATGAATAATGATTATTAACCCCCTACTGCGCCATGTAATACTATTGACTACAGAGTGATAGTAATACACGTAGGTTCAAATAATTGGTTTTATTAAGAAAACGATTTGAAAATGAGAAACATGTTTTTATGTTGAAAACAAAACAACTCTCTACCAAACTTAACATAACCTCAAAGAAACATCTACCCTAAAAAATAAAGCTGATCATACCATGTCGCCAAGTTAAGCAACTTACATGGCTTGATCTAAATATCATCACAGTTGTCTGTGACACTAATGTGAATTGCAGCTTTCACATGCGTCCCTTAAAAATGTACTTTTAACAGTTACATCATAAATAACTATTTATCGGAGATGACAATTAGGTTACATGAATATATATGTATTAATTCTTGTTTCACTTTATCAATGGCGTACTTAACTCAAACTTAGGTAGATACTAAATGTAGAAGTCACATTCGAAGTATAAAATCTAAATAATTAATTAAATATCCTGGCAGATTGAATTATAGATAGCTAACTCTATTTTGTTCCAGCACAAAATACGGCATGTACGAACCTCATTGCGGTCTGGACAATTTGCTAATCTCCTGGGGCCACGACGAATATCTGTACAACATGTTGAAACATAACAAGACTAAACTACCTGAACATGCTCTAAAAATGATAAGGTAAAAATTAAATAGAACCAAGTCTGTGAAAAATGTTATTAACAAATATTTGTTCAAAGATTCCACAGCTTCTACCCGTGGCACACCGGCGAAGACTACGGCCATTTCATGACAGAACATGACCAAACTGAAATCAAAAAATGGGTGCTGGCATTCAAGTAATTTTTTATCAAATTAGTAAAAAATATGAAATTTATAAAATATTTTTACAGCCAATACGATTTGTACACCAAAAGCACCGAGGTTCCTGATATTGAAGCTTTGTGGCCTTATTACGAGAGCCTTATTGATAAGTACATCCCTGGAGAATTAAATTGGTGAAAAATGATCATTATAACTGCAATTATTAATAAATTCTTGCTACAAACAAGTGCATTTTTCTTTAATCAATCCTGGAATATTCTATGCATGGTAACTTATGTAGTGAGTACCTATAAGAGTGAAACTTAAATATTATTGCGCAAAATAAGTTTGGGTGAAACATAACGTTCGAATTATTATAATTCTTATTCATCTCTTACTGAAAAATAGCCTTTCATTATACATGTGCATGTGGGAGCTATAGCAGCAGAAGGATAAAATACATAAAAGTTTCAAAAGATATTCTTGATCCTTTTTGGGCCTTTTTTGCTCATCAAAAATTTATATAATGTATACCCGTTAGAACGTCACTGACCACTACCAAGGGGTAAATCTCCTCACAAACAGTCAGAATTAGTAGCAAAATGGAAGAGCGATTGCCCTCAGGGCCTGGCCAGTGCGAATCAGTGCAGCCCTAATTCGCAAATTCGTTCAAATGTGTTTGTGGGAAAACGCACCAGCCCTGCCGACGGACAGCCCCGGGCCAAATTCTCGTATGTCCGAGCCTGTGTTTTAAAGAGGAATAGGAAAAAAAAGCACCGTGGTGTGTTTGCACATGCATACATACACTATACAAAGTGGGTAGATATAAAATATGTTAATTATTTCAGTATGTTGCAATTTATTATGATATAGAGTTTATAGTGAAACAGCCCGAAGTTAATTGTTATGCTTAAATTTAGAATGAACCATCCCTGGATTTGAGCTACATTTTGTATATGTACATATAATAATATCGCTAATTATAATTAAATTTTATAATTATTATTTTGTTAAATTAATTTCCGTAATTTGAAAGCAACCAGATTTTATGCTGAAAATATTATTCAAGACCCATTTGTAATTCGAAGAAGCACTCAGATTTCAGCCCACAAACACAGTACTTTAATCCCGTCCTTAAAATTATTTAAATTACCTGAACCTGTATTTTTGAAATTTTTCCTATTTAAATTTCATGGTACACTTTCGATGGATTAATTGGACTAGATAATCTAGAATTTCTGCAACAAATATCGATTTTGGTAAAGTAATTTTATTCACACCATATAATGAAATTAAAATTCTTTATCAAAGTACAATAAGGAACCTAAACCATATAAGTGTAGCCCCACGATCCGAACAAGTCATTAAAATAAAAACTTCTATAAGAAATGGCGAAATTATTATACCATACCAAAAACTAGGTAATTGCGAAATTCTCGAAAGTCTATCCATCTCCAGGAATGGAGTAGCCATCACAACTATCTTGAACAATTCTAAAGATAGAGTAAACCTGGACCTTTCTGAACCAATAAAAGTCGAAAATTTCGAAAGAAAAGAATTTGGACAAATTGATTTAAATTATATTGACAATTTTGAAAACCCCGAAATCGATATTTCCAAATTAATCAGAAAAGAACATATGAGTTCTGAAGAAAAAATTAAAATCACGCAATTGTGTAGAGAATTCTCAGATATTTTTTATACAGACGATACACCCCTCACTTTCACAAATGACATAAAACACCCTGTCAACACCACCGATGAAAGCCCAATCTATATAAAAGCTATCGATACCCGTTCATTCACAAACAGGAGGTCGAGAATCAAATAAAAAAGACCAAAATATAATAATACCTAGCAACTCTCCCTGGTCCTCACCAGTTTGGGTTGTCCCCAAAAAACTCGATGCAAGCGGTAAGCAAAAGTGGCGTGTAGTTGTCGACTACCGCATGCTTAATGAGAAGACCGTGGACGATAAATACCCGCTTCCCCTAATTACGGAACTTTTAGATAAACTGGGCAAATGCCAATATTTCTCCACTTTAGACCTTGCGAGTGGTTTTCATCAAATCCACATGGATGAAAAAAGTATTCCCAAAACAGCTTTTAATTGTGAAAACAGGCATTATGAATATCTAAGAATGCCCTTTGGGCTCAAAAACGCCTCGCCACGTTCCAGCGCGTTTTGCATAACGTGCTACGCGGATTACAGAACGAAAAATGCGCTGTTTATTTAGATGACATAATAATATATTCTACTTCCCTTCAGGAACATCTTGAAAAATTAAGAAATGTTTTCGAACGACTCAGAAAAGCGAATTTCAAAATCCAACTAAATAAGTCGGAATTCCTCCGTAGAGAAGTAGCATACCTGGGACACGTAGTTACACCCTCTGGTGTTAAGCCAAACCCAGACAAAAAAAAGGCGATTAAAAACTACCCTATCCCGAAAACGACGAAGCAAATCAAAGGTTTTCTAGGACTCCTATGTTACTATAGAAGGTTCGTCAATAATTTCGAAAAATTCACAAACCCTTAACCAAATGTCTTAAGAAAGGTGCTATTATTGACCACAATCCCGAATTTGTAAAATGTTTTGAAACCTGTAAAATCTTCTAATAAATCAACCCATCCTCCAGTACCCAGATTTTTCAAAACCTTTCAATTTCACTACTGACGCAAGTCGCACTTGGCGCAGTCCTGTCTCAAGGGCCTATCGGAAATGATTTACCTGTAGCGTATGCTTCCCGAACCTTAAATGATAGCGAAGCAAATTATTCCACCATTGAGAAGGAACTTCTTTGTATTGTATGGGCAACAAAATTTTTCCGGCCCTATTTGTATGGTCGAAAATTCAATATAGTAACACACCATAAGCCTCTTCAATGGCTGTTTTCTTTGAAAGAACCGGGTTCGAAACTACTTCGATGGCGAATTAAGCTTGAAGAATTCGACTATAAAATCTTCTATAAAAAAGGGTTATTAAATACTAACGCCGACGCCCTGTCCCGTGTCGAAATTCACGCCAACGAGACCACAGATAATTTTGATATTAGTCAATACATGGACGAGTTCAATTAATCCCTACAATCTTCTAATGGAAATGCTGATCAGCTCACAAACAAAACAAACCCGGACCAAGACAATCTTTCCATCATTGCCCAACCCGATAATGATAGAGAGCAAAGAGAGTTTAACGTCTTTGACGAAAACGTCACTGTTCATACTAATGCCGAACAACATCCCATTGTAGGTATACCTATCGCTGAAATTCCTGTAACTTACGGCGCTCGCCAAATTATTATTAAATCGGTATTACATTCTCCAGCAAAAACAAAAATTACCATATTATTCGAAAAGAAAAAACGAATAAATGTACAAATTTCACAAAGTAATTTTGAAAAGGACATTCTAAACCTTATGAAAGATTATGTTACTCCTGATGTCCAATATCACTTATATTTTGAAAATCGAGAAATATATGAACCATTTTGGGAGGTTGTACGCAAAAATTTTAAATGGCCTTCATTAAAATTAAAATATTGTCAAATTAAATTAATAGACGTTACTAATAAAGACGATATTCAGGAAATCATAAAAAACTATCACGAGAGAAAAACCAATCATAGAGGGATTGAAGAAACTGAAAGGCACATTAAATCTAAGTATTATTGGCCTCACTTGAAAAATTCAGTACAAAGTTATGTAAATACTTGTGAGATATGTCAACAATGTAGGTAAATACGAAAGATACTCCGTAAAAGTGAATATGAACGTAACACCCACTGCTAATAGACCATATGAAATTGTCCACATGGATGTTTTTATAGTCGAAAAAACCAAATTTTCAACTATCGTCGACAGCTTTTCTAAGTATGCTCAAGCATATCAAATTGAATCAGCAGAATCTGTCGAACATCACTCTATGCCGAAACAAATTATTGAAGGTAATGGCAGAGAATTTAAGAATCTCTTGATTACTGAATTACTTGGTTTACACAAAATTAAAGTTCATTTCATTTGCCCAAATCATCCTGATTTAAACGGTATTGTTGAAAGATTCCACTCAACAATTTTAGAAAACGTAAGAATTCTAAATACCCGCGGATTTCTTAAAACATCAGCCACCTAAAAATGATTTACGCAATATTAGGCTACAATAATACAATACACGCCGCAACAAAATTTAGACCCATTGATATCATAAATGACCATGTTTCGAGTAATAATCCTTTTGACATCCAACTCGATCAACCACTAATTAACGATTACGTAGAAAATCATAAGGAAAAAACCAAATTATTAAATTCTCAAATTAATGAAAAACTTAGCCAACAGAAAGAAGCATGTTTTATTGGAGCGTGGAATGTATAGTTCCATACCTATAAGGACATTATTTCGGTAACCTCTTGTGCAGTCTCGGAGGGCCCTTTGGATTTAAAGCACACGAAGCCTGACAAAGTACCACAAAGAAGTCGAGAAAAAGAGTTTTAGGCCTTCCCAGTCTACATCTTTATAATGCCATAACCTACGAGGGATTCGAGCAGGAGCTGAGGGTATAACAAACGAACTTCCAGCGGAAATCAATTTGTGGTCTGATTTGCCCAAAGGTGCAAACACATCGATCTTGTATGGATCTAGATTAGTGGTAAGGAACAAATTGAATAAGGTGTTCTGTTGAGAAACGGATTTGGGAAATTATGTGGGATCTTCTACTAACTGGGTTAGGCCATGTGGAATGGCAAATGCTTCAGCAATCCTTGCAAGGATTGTTTTGTTCGAGAACTTAAGCCAGTCTGAGCCATAAACATTAAAATCTACCAAGAATATTAGCTCGGAGTTCGGATGAGTCTCCTAGAGAGAATCAAATAAATTTGCCAGACTTTTAAATAGAAGTTTATAACTGAAGTCGTTGGGTGAAAGATACAGGCAGTAAACAAACTAACACTTCGTAGAAGTCATTTTTAGCCAAATTACATCGTGATCAGATAGACGAATCGAGATCATGTGGCAAGAGAGCTCACTGCGAGAAAAGACGCAGAGTCCCCTCTTAAAGCGCGTATGAAGAACATAGATGGGACATAGGAGATGGATTGGCTTTGCAGAAGATTTTACTTGTGTCTCCGTTAAGACCAGCATATGTGGTTTTTTGTGCTCAAGATGTTGGTGCAGTTATTAAGCTTGATGTAGACTCCCCTCGTAAACCTTTCTCTCAGAGATTCGAATGGGAGGGTATTTTAATTCCGG